AGAAAAAAAAAAAGCCTGAGGCACAATTAATTAATTAAAGATATAAATTACCTGCCAAGGCATCAAGAAGAGTAGACTTCCCACTTCCGGAAGGCCCCATAATTGCCAGCGCTTCCCCCGCCGCCGCATACCCCGTCGCCGCCGCCAGGATCGGCCGCCGCCCCTCCGCCCCCTTTTCCGGCACCGTCACCCACAAATCCTTCCACGTCAAGTAAACCCCGCCATTTCTTAGCGGGCCCACAACATCCACATTCTTTTCGACTTCACGTTTATCAGGCCTCCTTGAGCCCGATTCGGCCCTATCGGGCGGGCCCACGGAGAACGGGAAGCCCGGGTGGGTCCCACCAAGCGCCAGCTCGATGTCCGACGAGGCAAAGCTGCTGTCGCCGGCCGAGTTGTAATCGGCGGGATGATCGTGGCCGGCAGCGGGAATCCATCTAGGAACAATTGGATTTATTTCTTTGGCGTCCATTGTTTGTGTAAGAAAAAAAAATAAAAGATAATTATTGTGCAAGGAGAGAGTTGATGTGGCTTTTATATTATGTTGGGTAGAGCATTAATTTCATCATAATTCATAAGGCCTAGTCTATATCTATATATATATATATAATTGTTGGCTCACGAGCATTTAATAAAACTTATTAAATTATACCTATATGGCAATATAATTTTTTCCCTCCAAAATTCGTTGCTTTTTATTTATTTAACCTCCCATTTAATTATTAGATAATCAACACACTAATCACTTCAAAGTTATAAAAATTATTTTAAACTTTTGATTTACTTACAACTGACCATATAATGTGTTGACTATTTAACGTGATTAGATGTTATTGTTGTGGTTACATTTAAACTAACTTCTTTTGGAAAATAAAAAACGTATTTGAAATTCTTAAATAAATAATAAATAATTCACAAAAAAATACATACCAAAATATACATTACATCCAATATGATAAACGCATTTAAAATAAATAAATATTCCAGCTCCTTTAATTGTAAATTTCCCTGCAAAAAAATACAAGAAAAATCATTAATCATTATATGCATACAAATAATTCACAATACTTTATTTATATCTGTACAAATGCACAAGTCAAATAGTAGTGTGCCTTAAAAAAGTGGATGGGAATTGAAATAGTATTGGAGTTTGGATTTAATTTTATAACTATTATATAGAGATAGTTTAAGTTTTTAATTTATTATACTGCCAAACAATAATGTGTTAAAAATATGTGGAGGACAATTGTACAAACAGAATTTCAGGTCTGACCTAAATTTAATATTCTTTTCCATGATTTTAATGTCGAATAGTTTTATTTCCCCTTATGTTAATTAAAATAATTAACCATCGCCTTACCTATATTTGCAATGTCTTGTTTTGTTCTGCCTGTAGGATTATGCAAAGAAATAACCAGAGCATGTAATCAATTCTGGTGGGCCAAAAGCAATGACTTGCAGAAAGGAATTTCTTGGGTGGCATGGGATAAACTCACTCTGAACAGGAAACATGGTGGCCTCGGATTTCAGGATATTCACCTGTTCAATATAGCCCTCATAGCAAAACAAATATGGAGATTGGTGACACAGCCTGAATCTCTGGTCAGTAGGGTTTTAAAGTCTAAATATTATCCAAACTCTTGTTTATTTGATGCCCACAGAACACAAAATGCCTCATGGCTTTGGAACAGTTGGCTTTCAGTTTTGAAAGATTGTGAAAGCTGGATGCAAGTGGAAATAGGAAATGGTTTAAGCACAAAAATATGGGATCAACACTGGATGCCAAACCATACTGGTAGGCCAGTTCCATTACTCTCAGGCATTGATAGGAACATAAAATGGGTGAAAGATTTATTAACTGCAGATGGTTTTCATTGGCATGAACAGAAAGTAAGAAATACCTTTCCTTCTGAAATCAGTGATGCAATCCTCTCTATCTCTACCATTAATCCTAATCAACCAGATAAGTGGATTTGGAATTTGAACAGGAAAGGTATATTCTCAGTCAAATCTGCATATTCACATCTAATCACTCAAAAATTCCTTCAGATGAACCAGGCACAGGACAGTAACACCATTAGTGTTGGCTCTAAAGTTTAGAGAAAGAAGCTGGAAAATGAAAATTTTGGGGAAAGTCAAACACTTTATCTGGAGATGTTATAATGGAGCTTTACCAGTGTGCATCAACTTGAGAAGAAGAGGAATGGAAATAGATACTACCTGTGCAATTTGTGGAGAAGCAGAGGAATCAATAGAGCATGTTCTTTTTCATTGCCAACAAGCTCAACTAGTGTGGAAACTCTCCCCAGTCAATTGGAATGGACCAAAGCCACAAGAATCATTTCAATCTTGGTGGTGGCAGATCTGTCAAATTGATAAAAATGACACAGCTGAAGCTCGACTCCAATTGTCCACCTACATTCTTTGGTGGCTTTGGAAATGTCGAAATCTATGGGTTTTTGAACATCAAAGAAGGCCAGCACACATCATAGTTCAAGCCGCAATGAGAGATTGGTTGAATTACTTGGACAATGGAGGATTAAAGTCTCAGAAAGTATAGTGTTATTATTCTGTTTTTAGCATTTTAGGTCCTTTTATGTTGTGAACTGAACAAGAATAAGGTCTTCGGTAGTGTGTACTGCCTTGTTCTTGTCTAGATATTGGTCAGTTTGTTTTTCTAGGCCACAATTAAGTGGTACTCCTAGCTCTCGGTTTTCTTAGTGGTATTGTACATTGAACTCTGTAACATGTTTTTTATTTGCAGAATGAGATAATCTATCGGTTAGAGAAAAAAAAAAGAAACAGGGTTTGTTATCAAATTAATCAAGTGTCAAATTTATGAGGATTATATTTTAACTGGACTAGTATGATTTGAAAATTGATTTAACTATCATCTAAATAAATAAATTAAAAATAAAATTAATTTAAACTAACTAGTAAAAGGAAAATCGATAAACTAAAAAGTAGAAATTTAGCGACTAGGAGTGTCTTTGTTAAGCACGAAAAGCAAGTTTAATAATTTATTTGGTTAGGCTATAAGTTTCATGTATTTAAATAAGTTTGATTTTGTAGAATCGGTTTTTTTAATAAATCTTGAATTTATCACATCAGCTTTTTTATATAATTTTTCAAGAAATATAGTTGAAAATTTTATTCAACTGACTTATCAACTAATTTTATTAAATATTTTTATTGTATGTATTGGATTTTTAGCTATAAGTCAAACTATCTGCTATAAAATCAAAATTAACTTATAAGTTGTGGATTAAATTATCAACTATTAGCTAGATCCAAATTAACTTATAAGTTGTGGATTAAATTATCAACTATTAGCTAGATCCAAATTAACTTATAAGTTGTGGATTAAATTATCAACTATTAACTAGTTTTTGGGTTAAATTTACCAAATATACCCTAGACATATTCATGATAGTGATAATATGTAAGTTTTAAAAGAGAAAAGAAAAATAAATAATATAGCTAGTTAGCGTGTGGTATAGTCCCACTCTTCCGTCTCAACTTGTTGATTTCATCTATAAGTGCCAAAATTTCCCATTTTCCTCCACATTGCGAAATAGCAGCCAGTTTTTTTGTCTTCCTTGTGCGTCCCCCGTTCCTGAAAAGTCTTCTCCTTGCAGAAAAAGATAAATAAATCCCTTTTAACCAATTAATTGTGCGGCAATTGATTTGTCTCTTACTGGGCCTAGCCCAACATCAATCCACAAATAATTTGTGAAATACAATTCTTAAAAAAAAAATGCATGGGACACGGGTCACATTTCTATTGGATAATGAATTTTATATATCATATTATATAAATTAAATTATCATTCATATTTTATATTAAAAAATAAAAATAAAAATAACAAATCTATAATTTTTCATTCTCTACAAATAAAGACCACATTTGATAGGTTTTAGAACACAATTAATTTATCACTTTTCACAATTAATTTATCTTATTGGAAGATGAAGACCCAAATCCATAATAAGATAAACATGTTACATAGTAAGATGAACATGCTACATATTTACAGAATAAGATGAATATGTTATAAAATAAGATGAATATGTTACAAAATGAGATAAACATGTTATAAAATAAGATGAACACATGTATTATTTCATTCTGCAATCCGTAACATGTTCATCTTATTTGATAACATATTCATCTTATTATGTAATATGTTCATCCTATGTCAGTATAATAAATTGATTACGAAAAAAAAAAAATTATGTTCAAAAACCTATCAAATGTGGTCTCTATTTATAGAGAATGAAAAATTATGAATTTTGTTATTTTTATTTTTTTATTTTAATATAGATTATTAATGATATTTTAATTTATCTAATATGTCTCATTTTCAATTAAAAAAAAAAAAAGAAATGTGGCATGTGTACTACAATTTCTCATTTTTCTGGTTTTTGGGGATAAATCCGCGCGTGCATAATTGCCCTGACACACCTTGTTAGGTGTGCCAGTACACACGGTAGTGGTACTGACATCAATCGGCCTTCATAGCATTTTAGTTCATCAAATCATGCACAGAGCATTTTAAGGCGAAATACATAATTAACTACCTCATAGAGCTAGGGTGTGTTTGTACATGAAAAATCAAGTTCATACTCAATTCATACTCAAAATCTACCTCAAATTTAATCCAACTCTACTCTTCTCAATATTATCAATATAATTAAATAATATCAACCAATCATTCTTATTTATACATCAGATCTAGTTTAATTTATTATTCATCCTCTCATATAATTTTAACTAACTATCATTTAACACCATTTCTCTCCTACTTTTACATAAGATCAACTTTAGTTATTTTATTTTAAATATTATTTTAATATATAACCAAAATTCCACTAAAAACTAACTATACCATTTTTTTCAAAATTAACTCTTGTTAAAAAAAATTCACAATTTTTTTTGGATATAAAATTTTTTGGATTTGTTTGGATTTTTTTGGTTTGGTTTGGTTAATTTTGAAAAAGGTGGTATTGTTAGTTGTTAGTGGGTATATTAAAATAATATTTTAAATAAAATAAGTAAATTTGATTTGATGTAAAAGTATGAGAGAGATGATTTAAAATGATGGTTAGTTAAAATTATGTGAGTGGATGAATAGTGAATTAAGGTTGATGTGATGTGTAAGAATGATTAATTGATATTATTTAATTATATTAATAATATTAATGATAGTTGGGTTGAGTTAAAATTGAGTTAAAAAAAGTAGTTGAGTTATAAATGTTTGGATTTTTTGGATAAGTTTTGTATCCAAGCATAGAATTTCAAAACTACTCAACTTATTTCAAATATGAAAAACCGCAAGACAAAAGAAAAATGATAAGAAAAAAAAATATTAATTTTCTTTTAAAAAATATGGAAGTTACATGAATTTAAATTTTTAAACAAACCAAAAAATACTCTCAGTATATTTTTTTTCTCTCTCTCTTACTTTCCCTCTGTTAAATTTTTAAACAAACCAAAAAATATGGAAGTTACATGAATTTAAATTTTTAAACAAACCGCCTCAACACTACGATAATTAATTATTTAATATAGATGAATAACGTCGGTCACATAATTATAAAAACATTTATTAATTCTAGGAATTCAAATGAATTCAAAAGAGAAAAAAAAAATAATAATATCAAATTTAGATTTACTAAAATGAACCACAAGATCCTATGTTTTTGTTTTCTGTTTTTTATTTTTTATTTTTTATTTTATTTGATTGAAGAGGTCTATTATATACCTCCCACGCATGATCGACAAATCTATTATATATGACAAATATATGTAAATGATGATAATACAATTTAAAATGAACTATTAATCTCTTATGTTTTATAACAAATATATGAGATAGTGAATAACAATAATAAAAAAATACAATAACAACTATCAAACAACATAAAAACAACTTGTTGTGAATAAAAATATATAAAAACGACCATCGGCCGCTAGTTGCATCATCAATCCATCGCCCAATCAACAGCTGATGCCGGACAAGTTCGCCGCTTACGGGTTGAGCCCATCGGATGCCGCAAGCCTCTCGAAGCCGCTATCCATGCTACACACAAGGCCGGTGGCTGTGCTACCAAATCTGCAACAACAAGAAGAAAGAGGAGGAGGAGGAGGAGAAACAACCTCACACTATTAAAACTTAAAAAAGACTTTTAAAAAAACATTGTGGGCTATATCTTCAGGAAAAAATAAAAATAAAAATAAAATAAAATAAAATTGTAGGAATAAAATTGGGTTAAAATTGAATAATGAAACCGCTAATAGCAACTAAGTAATAAATTATTTAAAATGGATAGAGAGTGTCCGTTTAAGGGGCTAAAATACATAACTAACCACCGATTTTGCACTTTTCAGAAATGAAATTGTTGGATCTCTTTTTATTGTTATTAATCATATAATGACAAGTTAAATATTTACAAAATAATAAATCTAACTAAATTATATTTTAATATTTAAGAACACTTTAAATATACCATAATTTATCGATTTAAATCTACGGTATTTCAGGTTTGTATATTATTTTCGTGAATATTTTGTTTCTCACCAGTTTGGCATTTAGAAATGAAATTTGTTTTTCTAGCACATCGTATTTTCTTAAATAAAATTTATATTTCTGGCGCATGTGTAATCTTCTCTTCTGGTTAGCTCATTGTATTTTCTTAACTTCTCTTTTTCTTCCGCTTGTTAAACTTGTAGCATGACTGTACTTTCGATGGCTACTATCATGCCAACTTTTCACCTACATAATTTTTTCAGGACACTACATTGTACTTGTTAATTGACTTGTTTTTCTCAAAACAAAAATGTAAAATTTAACAAAGTAAATGTAGCCTAGGGCAGTGGATATCTAGCATCAAACAAACATGTTGAGATGCAGAAACATTCCCGCCACATTACAATTGAACCTCAAGCAAATACTTAAATGCATGTATTAAGCTGATAAACATCCAACAAAAATAGAACATCCCAAAATCTCTCATCAGAAACAAAGTAACAGCTTTAACCAACATCCTTCACTGAAAAAGAGTCAAAAACATATCACACCTCCAAATAGATTTCCAGCAATGCCATACAGAAGCAAGAAAAAAACAACACAGCCCTATTCAAAAGCTGTTGGGTTTTTAAGCAGCAGCAGCAGATGGTTTAGAGGCGGCAGCAGAAAGTCGAGACCTCTTCTTGGCTAGGCTCTCGCTCCTCCTTTCTCTCTGTTCCTTCAAACGAGTGGCGAGAAGCTTCTGATACTCGGCAGCCTCAGACTTGGCCTTGGCAATCCTCTTTTTCTTGTCAGCAATTCTGGCTCTCTTCCTCTGTAGGGTCAATGGGGTCACCAGCCTCTGAATCTTGGGAGCTTTGCTAACCTTCTTACCTATTTTCGTGCATAATACAAATGGTCAAGGGGTTAGTAGATTTCAAACCATTTACGAATGCTTACAAAATGATGATTTAATAAATTAGATTAGTAATAAAATTAAGATTGTGAAAGTTGATGAGAGCAAGTCATTTATAAGGTAACATCCCCTATGTATAATTGCATGCAAAATGTGATGAGCCTAAGTGGCAGCCTCGCACGCTTCGGAATCCTAGTTTGGTTTGGATAAAAAATAATATTATTCTAAATCAATAATTTTAGGTTCGGACATTCCAAAAATATTGAAAAACTAACTTGATAATTCCATAATAATTTGACTGATATAACCCTTAAGTTGTATGGGAACTTTTGGTAATGATATTGATGGACTAATATAACCTTAATTTGTCTTGGAAGCTCTCAATCGGCTCATTATTTCCATGAAAACCTCAAATTAGCCTAATAAATACATATATTTCATTTTAAACAATTGTTGTTGTTATTATTATTTAACTTAATTTAAAAATAATTTTCTTAACAAGTACCCATGTAGTACACGGGTATTGTACTAGTTAACAATAATTTAAGACATACCATTCTACATGTTTGAAAGTTTTGGTGACAAGAAATGAGAAAGAGCAGTGTACTTTCTAAACAAGTTTCTTGATGAGCTATAATGAAATAATGAAAAAAAAACAACAAAAGCTCACCAGTTTTGGTGGTGAATGTGCGGCGGTATGTGTTGACATACTTCCTAACATCATCTTCCTTGGAAAGGTTGAAAAGCTTGCGGATTTTAGAAGCCCTCTTGGGACCCCTCATCCTCGGCTTCTCGACATCAGTCAACCCTGGAAGATCATTCTCACCCTTCTTAACAATCACCAAATTCAAAACAGACAAATCAGGGCTAACAATGCACCCACGAACAGACTTCCTTCGGCGCTCCCCATTTCTCCTCCCATAACCACGGAAGCACGGAGTTCCTGTTTCAAAAATATAATTTCTCTGTTTTAAAAATCTCAGAAATTTAAAAACAAATAAAAAAATAGTAGTCTATGCATATTATTAAATCAAGTATGCGTATTCTACACACCTCTGTGCAGCAAGAGTCTCACACGGCCAGGAGTCAGCACACCCTGCTTCATGGGGAAACCTTGCTTGTCACAGCCTCCCATGATCTTGAAAACATAGCCTTTGAATTCCTGAATTATAGATTAAATTTGTTTGCAGGCATGTTATACAAATACATCATCACATATTATCAGCAGGTAACAATAGTTATAGAACTCAACAAGATTTCCCTAGAAGGAAAAGCCATACCTCACCCAGTGCATCTCCACTAACCTCCTGAGAGATCCTCTTGTCCCAGAACACTCGGCTGCATAATAAGCAAGATTAAAGTGACAACCAAAGTGCTCAATACCTATCTGAACTAAAGGTACAAGAAAATCAACAGAGATGAAACCAAAAACTTGCAATCTAAGCCAAAGCTTGTGACAGACAACAATGCTGACACTTAAGCTACCAATGACGGAAGCTAGGAGAATATCGTTTTTTCATAACCAACATCAATCGTACTGTAAATAGTACTACAAATCCTAACGGTAGAAGCATTGGTAATTAACCATAGAAATGGAAGAAGAAGAATTACAGTTTCTGGTCATCGTCAATCTCGAGCTTCTTCTGGCATCCAGTAGTCGGATTCGCAATATTGAACTACAACAAAACACAATACAGAAAATTAAAATTTCAGACAAATTACATCTGACAGAGCTTACAAAATCATGAATCCGCGTGTTGTGAGAAAAGGGATAGATTGAGGAAAGAGAAACCTTCATCTTCGATGCAGCTCAGAGGAGGCAGCAAAATTGGTGTTTGAAAATGCTCGGCCCCTGTTACGAGATTAGGGTTTGAGCAGTGGCTTTGACATGACTTATATAAGTATGCTGTTTTATAGGACTTATGACAGGGCCGTCATGCAAGCCCAGTACTGCTCGTGAGTACTTTAGGGCTTTTAGGCCCAATTAGTGTGTGTGCTATGCAACGAAAAAATGACACCGTTTGGCATTTTGTAACTATTATTTAGAGCATCTCCATTCATGTTCTCTATCTATACAGTTTCTACTGTAAAATCCTACTAGTTTTACAGTTTCAATAGTGCCAGCAACTTCAACCCATTCCTTCTAAAAGAATATTCCAAGCATATTCTTTTCTAATTTTATTAGTTTATTAAATAATCTCTATAAATTACATTTTAATGCATTATGCTTGTTAAAATATACATATCTATGAATATATATTAATTATTGATTAATAAGATTAATTAATAAACTTGAATCAAAATCATAAAATTATACACTGCATCATAAAACCAAAATAACATTAATTTTTCCACAAACGTAGATTATATCACAAACATTAATTTAAAAAAAAAAACATCAACACAAACATGAAACATTCAATACAATAAAAACTACGGAAAACAAAATACAACACTAGTTATTGCCATGAGAATATTTTTCCCACAAATGTGCAACCAATGCATTACGAAGTTCATAGTAGGCAGACTTATCCTTGATTCGTTTGTGTCGAGCAAGAAATTGTTGAAAAAAGACGTCATCTCGCGGTGCTGGAGTAATCGTAGGAGCACCAAATTGAACATCACTTCTAATTGGCGCACTAAGATCACGTTGCTCTTCGACATTCATATTGTGCAAAATAATACATGCTTTCATTATATCATTAAGCACCTCTTTTTTCCAAAAACGAACAGGACCCGCGACGATTGCAAATCTTTTTTGCAGAACTCCAAATGCACGCTCAACATCTTTTCTACATGTCTCTTGTCTCATTTTAAAGTATTCCTCCATTGGATTTGATGGTGCAACAAAAAACTGAACAATAGTGGACCCCTTTGGATATATACCATCTGCTAAATAATAGCCCATATTATATTGTTTACCTTGAATGGTGTAATTAGCTGGTGGAGCGATACCTTCAGCAAGATTTGACATTAGAAGTGATGCTTCCAGCACATTAATGTCATTATTCGCACCTAGCATACCAAAATATGCGTGCCATATCCATAGATCATAATCTGTCACAGCTTCCAAAATGATTGTTGGCTTTCCAGAACGTCCAGCGTATTGACCAGCCCATGCCTTAGGGCAATTCTCCCATTCCCAGTGCATGCAGTCCAAGCTACCTAACATACTTGGAAAACCACGTTGTTCACCAATATGAAGCAATCTAGGGATATCATTGAGATTTGGTGATCTCAGATATTGTGCTCCGAGAACTTCAACGACTCCATGGCAGAATCTCTTTACGCATTCATTGGCCGTTGACTCAGCAATCTTAAGATATTCATCGACACCATCTGCTGGAGTTTATAGGTCAACTGACGAAGTGCCACTGTCCCTTTTGTATATGTTGACAATCCAAGTCGACCAAGACCATCCCGACGTTGTTGGAAAAAATTATCATGATTTTTCAAAACTCGCATAACACGTTTGAAATTATGAATAGAAATCCGAAACCTTCGACGAAATGTATCTTCATCGTAGGTTGGATTACTACTAAAATAATCTCGAAACAGAGTGCGATGGGCCTTCTCCCGATCACGATGGACTACTCTATGTCCCGGAACAGAACCTCCTCAAGATGGTTGGCTACTTTGCACGGAGACAGCATGTGCCGTAAAAAAATTGTTGGTTTGCAATATATGAGTGGTGGTTGATTCCAAAGTGTTATAAAAAAGAGGCAATGAAGCATTTGCATCTTCCTCATCAGAATCATAATTATAAGGAGGAAGATAATTCATTGTGAATGATATTAGAGGGAAATATTACAAAAATATTTGATAATGAATGTAATATGTAGCTTAGATGATATGATATAGTTTCATTTTTATATAGACAAATGAATGAGTAAAAGAATACATGTTTTCTTCATTGGATTCTTTTTCTGACAAGGCCATGTGAAGTGAACCATTGGGATTCTTTCCGGATAAGACCATGTGAGTGAACAAATTTGACCAACACAATGACAAATGCAATAATTTCGGACAAGGCCATGTGTTGCTATTATGACTTTACATTATTACTTTGCATATGATTCTTTTGCATAGGATGACAAATGAATAAAAAATTAATTTGCATTGAACTATTTGTAGTCTTCAAGAAGCATAGGATGTAGTATTCAAGTAGCATAGGATGACAAATGCAATAATTTCGGACAAGGTCATGTGTTGTCATTATTACTTTACATTATTACTTTGCATAGGATTCTTTGCATAGGATGGCAAATGAATAAAAAATTAATTTGCATTGAATTATTTGTAGTATTCAAGAAGCATTGGATGACAAATGCAATAATTTCGGACAAGGCCATGTGTTGCCATTATTACTTTACATTATACTTTGCATAGGATTCTTTGCATAGATGACAAATGAATCAAAAATTAATTTGCATTGAATTATTTGTTGTCTTCAAGAAGCGTAGGATTCTTTGCATAGGATGTAGTCTTCATGAAGCATAAGATGACAAATAAATAAAAAATTAATTTGCATAGGATTCTTTTGCATAGGATGACAAATGGTACAACTATACTTGTTGTGCATGTGATTCGTTTATCTATTTATACATCACACTTCAAGAAGCAACCACACACATATCTCATTTATTCTTCCATTATTGTAGTCTTCTTGTTTCCACTCTTCTTCAATATCTTATTTTCTTCAAAATGTCTTCTTCAAAAGGGCCAAAATACTCCAAAACGGAAGATGTCTTAATTGTTTGATGCTACATAAGTATTTCACAAAATCCAATATCATCAAATGATTAAAGTTCTTCAACCTTTTGGAAAAAAATACATGATGAATACAACTCCCAAAAACATAAAGATTTACCATAACGCTCTATAAGGTCTCTTGACTCTCGTTACCGTCTCATGGAAACTCATTGTCGGAGGTTTAATGGATGCTTGAAGCAAATCGAATATCGCAATCCTAGTGGGACACAAATCCAAGATAGGGTGAGTATTTTGCTTTAAGGTCAATCCCGGTTCATGTTATTTGCTTGTTTTATAAGTATACTTACAATTATATATCTTTTACTTTGTTTGTAGATTGAGCAAGCCGAACGATTGTTTGAACAAGACCCAAAATATAAAGATGGCTTCAAGTTTCAACATGTGTTCCGACTATTCAAAGAGTTTGGAAAATTTGATGATAATGTGTCCCAACCACGATCTCGTCGTCGGGATTTCGATACACTCAATGACTCTTCCGAGTCCGACGTTCCATATGATGGACAACCAACACCAGAGTCTCCGGAATTGTCGTCTTTTAGTCCTCAACAAAGTGACGATGGTGTTGGTGGAACATCCTCTCAACGTCCAATGGGAGCGAAGAAAGCAAAATTGAAGAAGAAAAACGAAGACCAATTTTGCCAATATTTTCAAACTCTAAATGCTAAAAGTGATACTATTGTTGATTTGTCGAAGAAAGCCGAAGAACATCAAAATGTCTAGCTTCAAATGTAGAAACAACAAATCGATTTGCAGAAAAGGAGGGATGAAGATAGAATTTTGATGATAGATTTGAATTCCATTACGAATCCCATGATACGTCGACATTGGGAACAAAAACAAATGCAAATTTTACAAGAAAGAGAAATTGAGCAACAACAATCTCAAACAACACAACCATCATCTAACACGGGTCAATTTGGATTTCTCGACGACATCGGGCATGACGGAGAAAATTTGAATGATTATTATGGTGACAATTAAATCTATGAAATCGTCTATGTTATAATCCTTTTTTAGTTTTTATTTTTATGTTCCGTATTAATTATTGTTGTTGTAGTATGTGTGAGCTTTAAGATGAGTTTTTTAGTTTATTTTTATGTTGTGATTTTAATTTTAGTGTTTGTACGTTAATTTTAAGTGAGGTGAATGTTTATCCTTATTATGTAATTTTAACTTGATTGTTTGAAATATTTATTTAAGTGAAATTAAGTACTAATTAATATTCTATCATATTAATTAATAAAAGTATTCAATTTTTCATTATACTACTTAAATTTCTACCATATGAATTACAATAATTAAGTTTAAAATATTTATAAAAATATTTTAATTCAACTCATAAAACTAATTAATCTAATTAATCCAATTGTAGTTAAAAAAAAAGGCCCATCCACAATACATCATTTAGGCCCAAATACAACACAATTTCATTTAAAAAAAAAAGAAACAACAAAAAAAAAAGAAAAAAGAAAAATCCAAAGAGAGTGTGAACAGTGGAACGGCGTGGGAACCGTTCCACAGTGCACGTAATTGATAATAAATTCAATTATATTCATTTCAAAAAAAGTGTAAGTTTAAAGTTTTTATTTCGAGTTTTGATTTACCCACAATGTGATTCCATAAAATAATTATTTCGGTAAATTTTATCATATATTAAAAATCTTTGTGAATAATAAGTATAATTATAAAACATATATTGTTCCATTAATTAAAATGAATGTATTTTTATATACACTATCCAAGTAAAAAAATATAGGTAATTATAATCAAGTGTTTTTTTTCCGAAACGATAGAGATATTATATATAAATCACACAAATTTCCAAAAGTACAGCCACCAGCTGAATACAATCAGCCAACAACTGAATAGAGTGGGAAAACAGTCAATGACCGCCTAGAGCCGACTCCAACGGGGTAATACAAACGAACACAAAAAAAACTAACACACGAAAACACTAAGAAACTAAAAAGACCCCAACAGGGTAATACCCGAGTGTCTACAATTAAATTACAGAACTTTAAATTTAATTAACCAATATTTATTCAAAGATCTTTATAATTTCACGAGGAATAGACACCAATTTGCGGCAATATCATTATTGGCAAGTTATTATAGAAATATAAATTTTGAGAATCATATCATTTGATTTTAT